GAGTGCGCGTACACGCACCCCGGCAGCGGCCTGTCCAGCGCCATGAGCATGCAGGGCCAGATCACCGCGTGGAACCACAGGATGTCCTTCGCGATCAGGTGCGCCTGCGCGGGCCAGTACTTCCCGCGATCACCCGTGTCCACCACCGAGAGGTAGTTGAACAGCGCGTCGATCCACACGTACACCCGGTGCCCCTCGTCCCCCGGCATCCGGATGCCCCACGTGGAAGACGGGTCGGCCTCGTCGATCGCCCGGCTGATCGGCACGTCGCGCAACCCCTGCTTGATCCGCCCCAGCACCTCGTTCCGGCGCGATTCGGGCAGGATGAACCCCGGGTTCGCCTCGATGTGCGCCTGCAGGCGGTCCGCGTACTTGCTCAGGCGGAAGAAGTAGTTGTGCTCCGTCCGCTTCACCAGGTCCTTGCCCGTCACCGGGCTCTTGAATTCGTGCTCGCGGGCCTCGTTCTCGGTGACGTACTCCTCCTGCGACGGGTCCCACCACCCCTCGTACTCGCCCAGCTCCACGTCCCCCCGCTCCTGGAGCTCCGCGATGTACGCCGTCACCTTCTCCTTGTGCCGGTCCTCGGTGGTGCGGATGAAATCGTCGTTGGAGAAGCCCATCAGGCCGAACGCCTCGCGGAAGGCGTCCGCGTTGCGGTCCGCCCACTCGATGGGCGTCAGACCGCGCTGCTCGGCCGAGGTCACCACCTTCTCGGCGTGCTCGTCCGTCCCGGTCAGGAAAAAGACGTCCCGCCCCGCCAGGCGGTGGAACCGCGCGAGCACGTCCGCCAGGAGCGTGGTGTAGCAGTGCCCGATGTGCGGGGCGTCGTTGACGTAGTAGATCGGCGTGGTGACGTAGTACGGGGTCATGCGCCCGATTGTAGGGACTCCCCCGCCCCCGTCAGCCCCCCCCGGAACCCCTGGAACCCCCGGAACCCATGGAACCCCCGGACGCCCCGGACGCCCCGGCCATCGATCCGGGCATCGACAGCTCGCTCGGCCCGATCGTGCACACGGTCAGCGTTCCGAGGCGGCGGCGCGCCAGGTACGCGTTCACCTCGTCGAGCGTCAACGCGTCGATCGCGCCCGTCAGCTCCTCGAGCGAGCGGGCGCGCCCCAGCTTGCGGAAGTCCCGCGCGATCGCCCCGGCGCGGGCGCTCGTCGACTCGCCCGACATCACCAGACGCGATTTCATCCCGATCGCCGCCCGGTCGAACTCCTCCCGCGTGATCGCCCCTTCGGGGCTGTTGATCCGCTCGAGCTGATCGACGAGCACGTCGAGCGATTCCTGCGCGCGCTCGGGCGTCGTGCCGACGTACGCCACCGTCCGCCCGTACGCCGCCTCCGCCCCGTAGCTCGCGTACACCGAGTAGCACAGAGACCGCTTCTCGCGGACCTCCGTGAACAGACGCGAGGACATCCCGCCGGACAGCACCGCGCTCACCAGACGCTCGCGGAACGCGTCTTCCGACGTCTCGGCCGGCGAATCGTGCACCACCGCGATGTGCACCTGGTTCGTGTCGCCCGCTTCGTGGTGGTACCCGCGGGGCGCGTCGTCCGCGATGCTCACGCCCGGGCCCTCGCCCGCGAATCCGGCGAGCAGACCGTTGAGCTTCCCGACGATCGCCTTCTCGTCCACGTCGCCCGCGAAGGCGAGGATCGAGCCGCCGGGCACCGCCCGCTCCCGCCACGTCTCCGCCACCACGCCGGGGTCCAGCGACGCGAGGCCCTCGAGCGTGCCCATCGACGGGCGGTTGATCGGCGCCGGCGCGTGCGCGCCGCGCGCCGTCACCATCACGCGCTCGCCGGGGTCGTCATCGAGCGATTGCACCGCCTGCACGCACAGCGCGCGCGCCGGCTCGAAGCTGTCCGCGCTCATCCGCGGCTCGCGCACGTTGGCGACCATCAGGGGGAGCGATTCGACCAATCTGGCGCCCGTCAGGACGGTCGTGAAGGAAAGATTCCACGTCTGCGCGGAAAATCCGCGAGAAATTCCGAGGGCGTCGTAGGCGTCCGCCTGCGCGCGGGAATCGAGATTTCCCGCGCCGCGCGCGAGCATCTCCGCGTGCATCGGCGCCAACCCCTGGAGCCCCTCCGGCTCGCACGCCGTGCCCGCGGGGAGCAACCAGCACATCGCGGCCGATCGCACGCCCGGGATGCGCTCGAAGAGCGTCGGCAGGCCGCATTCCAGCGTATGAAGGGAGATTTCGCTCATCGGACACGGGCCTCCGGACGGGATCGATCGGCGCGAACACGGCGCGCACGGGCGCGTGTGTCGACTCGGATCGAGATGAGGATAGGTGAAGCGCCCGCACACGGCACGCGACGTTCTCGGGGGCGCGAATCGCGTGGCGGCGCGCGCCAGACGATGTGTCGCGCAGAAGTTGCTTTGTTTTTGCATGTCGGACAAAGGGCTTGACCGAATGAATCCGATAGAAGTACAGTTTTTTCACGTGATGCTTCAGTGTGGTGCTGGTCATCGCGATGAAAACCTCCAAGCTCCGAAACCGATTTGAAGGAGGCCGTGCCATGGCTAAGAAGAAGGCAACCCGAAAGAAAGCGCGACGAAAGACGACGCGCAAGAAGGCGACCGCCAAGAAGACCACGCGCAAGAAGGCGACCCGCCGCAAGGCCACCGCCAAGAAGGCGACGCGGAAGAAGGCAACCCGCAAGAAGGCGACTCGCAAGAAGACCGCCAAGAAGATGGCCACCCACAAGAAGGCCACGCGGAAGAAGGCGACTCGCAAGAAGACCGCTCGCAAGGCTTCTAGCAAAAAGACCGCCCGCAAGGCGACCCGCAAGA